CGTGCATATTACTAAAACGGAAGCGTTGGAAACAACGCTTTGCTGTTGCATTCGATACTGTATTGGGTCCATAAACAACACATTTTTTTTGCCACCTGCTCCGCTTTTCCACTTGGTCGTAGTAGTACTGAAGAATATATCGAATTTTCTTTTTTACCTCCTAAACACAAAAATGTCAAAGAACTTTTTTTTAAAGCGTTATGTCGTCTTTAAGTCGCAGAAAAACGCTCAGAACTTTTTATTTCACCTAATTATACATTTTGTGTTAAAATAATACTATTTTTCTTGTTTCAAAATATGAATTTCAAAGAATCATGAAATATTTTGTCTATTAATTTATTAATAACTTTAATAATCTTTTGTTTAAATATTTTTTTAAGGTACGTTCACACTAGCAGTAATTTGCTCATAGTACAAATAAGTGACATGAGAAAAAAAAATGAAAAGCATCTCGAAAACAATAAATCTGATAAACAAACTTCTTAAACTTTCTTTGAGCGATAAAGAGTATATGTATTACTTTTGGTTAAATTTTAGTAAAGTAATTACAATGTATAACATAATTTACTATGTTAAATAACCTAAAGAAAGCGCAATTATTCTTAACAGCGGTTATTTGTAATGTTAATTTACTGTGGAAGTAGACTATCGCAGTCCATAATTTAATAATGCATGCGTTAGTTCGTACCTATATATATATATATTTTTATTAGTGTTATAGGGTTGTAGGGCATAGTTCGCTCACGCACGACAGCGTATTCATCTAGTGTTTGCGTGCCAAATTCAACGGTTTTCATTTAGCTCCCACGACGAAAGCAGGTCACGAAACGAAATTAGCCGTGCACACTTGCTGAATATGCATGCAAAGGCAATTACATTCTGCAATTAAAAGAAAATAAATCCCAGGGCAGATTTAATAAAAAGAAGCAATACCAACAAACACTGACACCGGATTTGTTTATGGCTGAAATTTATTGGGTCAGTGTGTTTTTTTTACAATGTTCCCTTTTTTAAATCAATATTTGAAATAATTGATTATTTACACAAAGGAATATATTCATCAAATTATTATACTTAATATTTTGTCGTGTCCCAAGGATGGTATTCTGGACACAGCGGAATATTGTCTGGTGTTCTCGTTGTGCAGTCTCAGTTGTAGGAATTAAATAATTCGTTTGGTTGTTTATTATAATAATTGGTAATCTTGGAGTCCTTTTCAAGGCAATGTAGATGTTTTGATAGGTTGACTAAGACTATGCTCATCTTATTAGTTTATATGAAAAAGATGATGAATTACGATTGTACGTGTAATGGTTATTATGTGTTTATAATAAGGACTTGAATTCGGAGTAAAGGTACAGACAGGAGTATCGACGGGAATGTTTACGCTTGGTCCCCTTTGTTAATATTAAAGTGTACCGAACTGGAATCACGTAGAGGTTCTATTATGCTTATATATATATATATGTTTATATAATAAGGCGACTGAGAAACGTCGTGGATGTCTCTAGTTCGTTAATTAACAATAACAATTATAACAATAATGGTTGGACACAAAATAAATCTTAACATTAACTTTACACAAACTAAAAAATTAAAGTTCACTTAATCACCTATATTATTAATTAAATGTTGTTGAGAATATTTCTTTGGAAGTTTATCAACAAAAAATTAATTAATTTGAACTAAATATTTTTTTTTGCCGTATATATTTTTATAAAAATGTATAAAAATAATTATTTTTATTCAAATCAAGTTAAAACAATGAATTATTTATTTCTGTTATTATTATTACTATATTATTTAATTATGAACATAAATAATTAAAAAATGCTCATCAGCTTACAGATTAATTAAGAATTTTTCTAGAAATGTTAGATATAAATTTAAATATTAATGAGAATCAAAGTAAGTTAAAGTAATTCCGAATATCAGAATTCTAAAGTTAATATTAGTTACATATAATTTTCTAGAAGATTTTGTATAAAGTTTAAATATAACACTTATGAAGATATTTTATTTTAAACTATGTCTGATTACTACCAATTAATGTCTGTTAAATTCAGATAAAGGTGTGAAAATAGCTCATTTTTAAATAAGTTATAGCTTTTATAACAATTATATATTCTTCCTAGCATCAAACATATTTGTTCTAAAAACAATATAAATATTTAAGACAATCAAAATATGCCTTGATGTTTTACGTTATCTGTCCTTAGTAATTATTTTATATAGATTTTTTTTCTTTATAGCAAAATTTTTCGATTTTCTTTTGGTTTCAATTTATTTACAGTAATAATTATTCTTTCTTTTGCTATTACTATTAAATTATCTAAAAAAAATATTTAACTTCATAAATGACACACTCCAATATTTTTTTTTGTTTAAGTTTATTTTTTTATTTACAACCTGCCACGACAGGGATTCAGCAATGTTATGTAACAACGCAATAATTTCCCTATGCTTAAATATGCATTAAATTTATAAAAAAAAGTACTATCTGCAAATAAACATGATTATGTTACAATTAAATTTTAATTTGTTTTTCATAGTCGTTTAAAAGAGAAATAACAGACATGAATGAATGTTTTGGCCTTCGTGTGACACGACTGAGCGACATGCAACACGAGAAAGTGTATCAAGTTTATTCAATATTTTTCATAAATTCAATCGATTAGAACCTACACTTCATTTCCGAGAAAACAAAAATAAATGAAGAGAGAGAGAGGGATACAATATAATTGTATGTACTTCACGGGTTACAGAACTGCTGTTGGTTTCATTACACACGATGATTACATTTCATTATATAATTAACAACATTATTTCCTGTGAATAATTTAGCAACTCCCATTTCATTAATCCTCGTCAATGTCAATAAGTTCATAAATGCGTTTCAAGTACTAAATCAATTGTATTTATTATCTGCAAAAGCAATGCATTTTAATTACTGTAGACAAGTAATTAGTATATTATTCTTGTATTTATTAGTTTATTTAGTAAATATTAATTGTTATACAACTAATAAGAAAACATAAATAAATCATTGAGAAATATAATATTTGGATATATAAAAATACCTCGTATAATACTTGTAATTGATACCGGACTGTTTGAGACCGTGACTATTTTTCTTAGAAATAAACAGGACTGATCGAAGCCGCATTATTCGAGTTATTTAAGATAAAGTAAACGCAGAGTTTGGTAAAGATTATTGAAGAACAATAGTCATTAAAATAGAGTGAATTTGTCATTTTCAATCAATATAATTTGATATTGATGATGTAATTTGGTGTATAAATCAAGCAATTGAAGCGTGTCAATCAACTTATTAAATAATTAGGCAATTTTCACGAATTGACGCCAATCAGAAATGCCAAAGTGTTATGAGCCAGCGGCTGTTCATTAGACGCCCTCCGGTCATGTCATAAATGTAAATGGTTTTCTCCCCAAGGACGGAAAGATTGATTGAAGTTGATGCTGCTGAGGCCTCCGGAGGCGGCGGCACTGGTGTGTGACGAATAGTATCAACACGTGTCGTATGTATCTTTCGCCGTCGCCGCTGCCGTCGTTTGAAAGAGAGAAAAAGTGAAGGAAGAAGAAAGGACACAAACCGAAGATCTGTTTGATAAATTATGACTTTGCATTGCGAGTGAAGCCTCGTCGTGTTTTCCATTAAGATGGATGCTTTCGTGTGTTTTCAGGTGCTTTTCAAAGACACAAATGATGTCAAGAATATACAAAAAATACTGAAATATAAATCCACCTGACGTTTATGTTGACGTTACTTGTAAACCATAATCCCATAACAAGAGTGCACTTTGATGGATTTGTTATGACTTTGTATTTAACATCAGCTTCAGTTTCATTATTCTATAAACTTGTATATATCGAATATCAATAATCTAGTTCACATTTTCTCAACCTTTGGTTTGCATTATTTTTTAGTGAGTCGCAAATGACAGTTATCACCTTATGTCAACGCAAATAACTGTTGAAACTCTTAGCAATAAGATCTTAGTATAACTATAAAAAAATATTACTAATAAAGTAAAACTCAATGTAATATAAAACACGATTTCCTTAGACACACATTTATTTTTTTAGTATTATTAAATAAAAACAAAAGTGTCAAATTGCACTTGTCAGTAAGTTTTTAGGTTAACTTAGTTAGGTTAGGTATTTACTAGAAATACTGATCTACTAAAGTTTTGTCTTTCTTAACTAATCAAGTTGTTTATAAACAATTGGGAACTATTTATGTAATTTCAATTTAAAACTAGTTAGTTCCTTTCAATTATATACGCTTTACCATATTTCAAAGTGCTAACTTTGCGTTACACATAAATATAGTGCAAATGTAAATGCGAATGCAATTATGCCGTTGTTTATTGAATAAATGAACTAGGCCAGAGTATTTTAGCAGCATCTCGCTTCAAAAGAGCAGCTGACGAGCTAATAATATACATCCTTACCCATTCCTTCAGCTAATATTAATTAACGACTAGTAAACTTCTCCTTTCTTCTCATTACTTGCGAAAATTCCACAACATTGAGACATATTGAAAAATATTCATAATTAGCGTATACTTCAGTTATTATCTTTTGTTTGTTATTCTCATTAAACAAACTTCTTGATTTTTTTTAACAGAAAATACAAGTTATTTTCAACTTGTAAATACGTACCTAAAGTTTGTATTTTTTGTAATTATCATTTAAATGATTACAGTTTATAAATTTAACACTACATACTTGATGACGTGGCATACTTTATTATTTTTAGGTTAGGTTACCATGTTACTAGATAATCTTCGTTTAAGTTAGGTTAGATCATGTTATTATTTATATAATATCTTATATAATATGATAATATAATATTTTATATAATTATTATGACATAATAATTATATAATAGTCATTATTAATTTATCAACAAGTTTCTCAACAAATTATTATCATTTAATATAAAATTATTATTATTTGTAAATAACAAGACTTACCTTTGTTCATCTATCGGACATTGTATGAATGTGGTGCATTCCCTCTTTTGGAAGTTCGACTCTATCCAAGTGCGCGCTGGAGGCTGTAACAAAATGCATTCCATAAAACACAAATATATTGATTCTAAGACGGAAAAACTTCGGCCAATAACCCTTTGTATGTAAGTATATAAAAAATGTTGTCTATTATTACATTGATTCTATTTTGATCATAAAAAACCTAGTTTTATTTGTTAGTATAAAAACTATTTATTCTTTGAATTTAGTTAATACATTTTAGATGTATAAATATATCATTCAAACCGAAAAGCTTGAATCGGTGTAGAATATAAATATATACTAAATAAACAGTATCAATCTCGAATACATTTCTCTTTTAGGTTGGCGCCAGATTAAACAAACAGAAGCAAAACAAATAAAGAAGTGTAACACAACGAATCAGCTTATTTCAAATGTGTAGACGTTCTAAATTTAGAAGAATTTCAATTCATCGGCTTCAACTTATGTAATGTTTAAAATACAACAACTTGAATAAATATTGAATTTTTATTATTCTAATACCTTACAAACATTTTCATACACACTATTTTTTTATTGAATTAATAAAATCTATGTGGGTTTACTGTACTCGAAATAGTTATCTTTTTTTCATTACTTGTATCAAAGTTTTCAATTTATTTTATGTAATAATCATTTTTTTTATGTTGAAATTATTATTATATTAAACTTTTCTTTTAATGCTATAGTGCAATTATATTTGTCTTCAGTTTTTTTATAAATTCAACAATATAAATATAGCGCCATCTATTATTATTTGAAGAATTAAATTTGACAGTATCAAAATTGCCAAATATTACCTAGAATATTATGTTTATGTATGTAAACTATGTTATAAATTATTAAAAATAGTTGAAAAAGTTGAGTTTATACGATAACTGGGTAAAAAGTTTTTCGTAAATCAACTAATCATATTTAAATTTACACTGACAGGTGGTAGCGCCATCTATTATTAATTGAAGAGTTAAATTTGACAGTATCAAAACTTGAGTTTTATTTTCTTCATTTATTTTCGTAACAAATATTACCTAGAAGATTATGTTTATGTATGTAAACTATCTTATAAATTATTAAAAAAATATTTGAAAATGTTGAGGTTATACGATAACTAAGTGGAAAGTTTTTCGCAAATCATATTTAAATTTACGCTGACAGGTGGCGTGTGTTCTTTATTACAGAAGCTGCAAACGAATAAGCAATATAAAACTCATAAATTTTACTCGCGGGCATTTTATAACCCAACCGAGAATAGTGGCTTAATCATAGAACACTATGAATTATGCACGCGCTGCTTATTACATTCGTTATAATACACCGATGAAATATTTAAGACTACAGTTGATACACTGTATACGTATAATAATAAATATTAGTGACAGTTTTCCCCAAAACGAAAAGGAAATGCGAAATTCTGTTCGCAACTCTATTGGTATTCTGGAAGGTTGCAACGACGACGACGGGGTTGTATAAAAAAATTGGTTCAGTGAACATCGATCCAATTGCCCGGTCATGCTTTGCACAAGTGGAATGAATGGAAAAAAAGAGTATATGTGAAGGTTTTAAATTGCGCATAATGACATTTCAATTTATAACATTTCACTGGTTTATCACAAAAAGTTTGTAAAAGTCATATGTGTGGTTGTATCTTAATGAGGCATGAGATTGGTCGCGAAATAGTGTCAATAGATAAAATCTAAGGAGAGGAAGAAGATTTAATTTGTAATTTTTATACTGTTTGAATTTTACATCATTGGAAGTTACATATTTATTAAGTTTATGATTTTCTTCATTTTAATCACTTGAATTTGTGAAACTTTTTTTTTTAATTTGATGAAGTTTTTAAATTAATTTAAAAAATAAGATATAAGTTACAGAGAACAAGGAAATGGTAGGAAATAATTGTTACTTTTTATACTTTAAAAATATAAGTCAATCAGTCCAATCAAAGCAATTCGCTCCAACATTTAACACATTACACAGTTGATAATAAAATAGTAATAATATTATACTAAATATTTGCTAATGCAAATAATAGATTCAAATCTTTGTATAAAATTAAATCTAAAATATAATTTTATTTAATTTTTATATTAATTAATTAGATAGGGTTTTTAAGTAATTTACTAGTAACAAACATGATGAACCTAATTAAATAAGATCAGTGGAAAATTAACCAGATGACGACTACTCTAGAGATTAGCCTTTAAATCCAATTAGATGCAAAGAGGAAGTGGGTTTATAGCTTATTAGATAATGCACTCTGTCGAAATGATTAGCTAAATAATTACAATTTTGGGAAAATGTGACTTCATAATGCAAGTTTTACCACTAAAGAACAAAAAACAGTTATGTTTGTTACATAAAATATTCTTTCTACTTTATATTTATTACAAGAAAAGATTGCAAAATATTTATTAAGAGTGATTAAAAATAAACATTATACATTAAGCGCACTGTTTGAAACCGCACTAATCGATTAACTGCACAAAACCGATCATTTTTGTATACAAAATATGTATGTATGTTCTAGACTTAATTTTTATGTTGTCCATTTAAAATATAGTGTATTTTGAAATTTCAGACCCGGACTATAGTGAATTCAGTCTGATCGAAGCCGCACTATGCAAGATATTGCTGTATTTTGTTAGTTAACTTTTTTTATATAAATATAAAAAATATTCTGTTCATTAATTCATAATTCACTGAAATTCCACAAACACTAAAATAAATTATAAAGTCATATATGATTGATTTATAAAAGAAAGAAGATAATTTTAATTCTTATACTCTATTATCCTTTTAATGTTAAATCATTTTGTATATTTTTGTGAATTCAATCAACCCGAAACATATCAATTTTTATTAGTGAATTGGCAAAATACATATTAATATTCTAATTTATCATCTAGTTAAGCTTAACAAACATAATATTAATCAATCAATAATTGAGTAGATCTTAATTATCAAAATATAAAAAGTAAATTAAATTTTCCAAATTAATGGAATCTTTGTAGTCGAATGTTGAATCATTACGTAAATAACATATCTTAATCTCAATGTAAATAAAGGCATTCATACTTAAAACACTCCACACTCATTTTAAACAACAATATTACATTAATTGCAACTTTTAGCTACAATATTTGTTTTTAACTAATAATCTAGTATAATTATTGTTAATTATTTGTCATATATTAGAACTATTTATAATAAATAATTAAATATATAAATTATGAATAATATTTATAATTGAAACGCAATATTAATTTTACTTATCGTAAAAGGTATCTGAATTGTACCGACAATATTTATATGATAATATGGATGTAGCAGTTGGCTATTAAAACGGTTTATATGGCTACTATAAAACTATGAACAAGGGATGGTTTCTATAGAATTACTGACATTTAAAAGCATATAAACTTGACTCCCGTTTTGTAGTTGGATCAATAATTTGGAGAGTATACTTTTTTCATTATTTATAACAATTTCTACTTGAAAACTGTATAAAAAGTACCAATTAAATTTGCACGCTCAAATAGACTGTTGATTTTATTTTTATAGAATTGCGAATACGCATGAAAATGAATTTATTTTTTTGTTCATTTCAATGCGCTATTATTTTCACAACAAATGGAATATTCAGATTAAAAAAAAGCATTTCATTTAGTAAATATAATAATAGTTATATATTCATTAAAATATCTTTTTTATAACAAAAAAACGCCACGAATATGTAAAATATAATATTTCAAATCCAGATATTGCTGTTATTAGTATGAGTTAAACTTGATATACGTGTTGTTTGTAATAATTTGTTTCAATGGGCAGTTAATGTTACATTTCCAAAAAACCCCGAGGAGAAGCAAGAAATAAAGTTATTAAGACATATATTTAGTAAACGTCAAACCTGATATTTATTAAATAAATGCATTTGTATTTACGAATAAAAGTTTAAAAATAAATACATTCATTCAGAAAATATTTCATATAAAGTTGAATTATCAAATATTCTAGACATTAATCTTAATATGCTCGATATACCAAGTATGCCATTCATTTTTAAATAGCAAAACTAAATACAGTGGAACGAACATTTCGCTTAACGAGCTAAATGGATTGTAAGAACGACGAGCGACGTTTGGCATAACGAGTGACGATCAGAAAAGAAGTCCCGGATTGCGCGTCTTCTACATCATTTTTAAAACATGTGTACACATATTATGTGTATTTTGGAATATGTTTCACTATACGAGTAATAATCTGGAAATTTTGGATCAGATTAAACTCGTTAAGCGAGGTTCCACTGTATATAAAATTGTGCTATCGAGGACTTTTTATAATCATAAAGACAATCACAGATTACCTCAATCTTATACATAATATTAATATGTGCTGGGGTATGTGTTTTTTCTTTGAATCCCGGGAATCAGTAAAATTCCGAGATTTCCCGGGAACCTTTCATGTTATAGTTATTTAAATTAAGTTTGTAAAAAGCACATAACATCCTTTTTGGAGCAAAGCACACATGACATCGATGATCTTGAATGTAAATATATTCTTTAATTCTATTTCAAATGTTCGTAGTTCAATAGATAATGATATAATTATTATCAAATGAGACTCACGTGACTCTAGAACCATAAATATCTCTCTAATTTACAATCAAAATCTATTTGTATATAAATTTCGAGAACATGTCTTTATTACTGTTGTTTCATATTGTTTCAGTACCTTTTTAATTGATAATTTTCTGGTTTTACTTCTACCTTAAATTAATGGAATGAAATTATTGCATATTTTAGAGAGTATTAATAAAGATTCGCCAGCAGCGGAAGTTTCATCATTAAGTTTCAATTTGCATTCGTCATCATCAAGAAATGCTATATTCCGTTTCTAACAATTCCGAGATTTAAAACACGAATAACATTGTTTTAATTTAATTGAAAAAGTAACTATGTTCTGTAGCTAAAAATAATTTATTTGCAGGTGAAGGAAAACACTTGTAACAGCGCAAGGATACAAG